TTTAAAAGTATTGTGATATTTTATAATTTATTTCTATAAAATATGAATTTTTAAGTTATGATTAAATGGTATGCTGTACATGAATAATACATTCTTCCAATGTTTAGATTTAAGAAAAGACCATCTGTATCAGTTTTTTTCTGTTTTTTATTTGTAAATTACAAATACAGCTAATGAATAAATATTTTTCCTGTTAATATGAATTGATCAGCTATTGTTCTTGGAGAAACAGTCAAATCCAGATATTATGTGTACGAAAAACTTCCATACCATGTAGTATATTAATTTCATTAGACTTGTTTTCTAATGATGGAATTCAACACTGTTGATATTCTCTAATTTCTTCTGAAGTTTGGACATTTGTACATGAGAAATAATTTTTGTAATTGTGCTTTTGAATGATCCCATATTAATGGGATACATTTCAGTGTGAATGTGATCATCTGTGAAATCTCAAGAGTAGTATTTGAAGAGTTTTTTTAAATATACTTTGTGCTTTGTGAGAATGTTCAATTCTTAATGACTCAGTTTTGATCTTGGTACATATGGTGATATGTGTGGACGGGAAAGTGATATTTATATACACACACTTTTAATTGTAGTGACAGAGGTCTTGTGCCAAAATTCTCCCCATTTTACAAATTAATGTTTTGAGTACTGTGAGATGACACATGATTTTATATGCATAAATTTTGATAAAATAACAACAATATTAATGTGACTAAAGCTTGTAGCCTAAGGTGTTGTAGTGGTTGCTTTTGAATACTAGTCATGTGTTAATAACCTCCAGTTGTGACATGTGACAAGGACAGACTCGTCAGCTTGTAGGTTTCAGAAGATATTTTAATCGTGAAAAAAGTTATTTCACCAAAATATTATCAGATTTTTTATTTGGCCAGACCATTTTAAATACTTGTTTTAAGCTTTTACCATTTAAAAAAACATATATAAAATAAGAAAACGTGTAACAGGAAGTATTAAATTTATTTTTAATATTGAAAAGGTTGTTAGATTGATAGTTAGACAATGTTTGTTCTCTGCCACTTGCTCGAACAAATATTTCACCTTTAGACAATCAACAGCATTTTTCACCCTAAAATATTGGTGGTTTTATATATAAAATACTGTAATAGGCACAATTAATTCAGGTATGCTTTATTGGTTTTCTTATTTTTGAAGGAGATTGTTTTCCCTTACCCTTTTCAGGTATTTTGGGCAAAAAGATCCAGAAGACAAAATCAGTCTAACAAAGATATGTTAGGGTATGGCTTAAGTTTTTTTGTATTCAGTACCAGTTTGTAATGTCATTTAAGTATCTTAATTTTTTATGGGAGAATATATCATAAAGTTTTCACCTTTTTATGGTTGTAATTTGTGAATTTGTTTCACATGAATGGAAGAAAAAAATTCTGCTTTCACAATGAATTTTTAGCAATAACAAATATTTGTATCATATTCGAGCTTTGAATATCATGATACAGACCATACATATATTTACCAAGCAGTATCCCAATGCTAAAATATACGCTGGCAACATGTCAATATACAACTACACGACACAGAGGTGTTTGAATCGGCCACAATCACTTAGTGTTTCGAGTAGCGTGGTGTATTTGTCCTTGTCACATGTTTAATAATGAGGTCATTGGGAACCTCCCTTTATGCACACTGTTCTGTGATTGGTTGATTTGTTGTTAATGTCAAGGTCAAGGCCACCTCCCTGACCATTATGTCATGGTCAAGGCCAGGTCACTGACTGTAAGTCAGCAGTATAGGTCTTGGAGCAAGTGTATGTTATGCTTTGCATATTGGATAATGGAAGCACTTTGTTCACAATAAAGTCTTATAATTGTGTTAATCTCTTTGACAATTTTGGAATATAAATGCTTCTATATAAAACAACCACTTCCTGTTGATAACTATTGTTTATAATTATGTTGAAATGACTATCAAGTTAACTCTGTTGTGATCATGACAATATGACATTTTTGAATATTTTATTATTTGTTTTGTTGATGCTCATTATTGTTGTAGGAAACAACATTCTAACATGCATATTAGGCCAGAACAATATTTTACTCAGCTCACGGATTAGCCAGCCAAAATATTACACAAGTAAAATAATAATAATACTGGTAAATGAAATGCTCTTTTAACTTTAATTTCAAGTGGAAAATAAGCTTTAAGTTAAGTCTGACAACTTACCGGTGTTCACTTTCTTTCATAAATGACCAGGAAAAACTGGAAAGACAATGGGTCGAAGAAATTTGGGATAGGTCCAGACCTTGGTTTAAAGATTTTTTTTGTTAAATTATCCTAATCAGTAGGTTTAGACAAAAGTGAAAAAATTGAAACTCTCTTTAAAGGTCAGTCCTATTGGTGGGGAACTGGTGCCTTTTGATGATTTGGGCTTTTTGGGGGGGCATGACAGGATGGACTTAAACTGAAAATGAGGGTAGTGCTCGTTTCTGGAGCAGAACTCCAAAACCATTCAACAATTCCAGACGAAACTTGCTACACAGATCAGTCTAGCGGTGAACTGGTGTCTTTTTCATGATTTGGGATGTAAATTGTATATATATTTTTTATGTTTTCATGATAATAAGTTGGACTAAAAATAAGGGTAGTGCTTCTTTCCCGAGCAGAACTCCAAACCCGTTGCTGAAACTTGCAATACAGATAGGTCTAGTGGTGAACTGGTGCCTTTTGATGATTTTGGATTTAGAAAAATACTTTACAGCATTATTTTTTTCTTCACTGAACTGATGGTATCCAGTGGCAATGAACCAAAAGTGGGGTAGCCAAAAAAGTAGCCAAACTCCATTTCTGAATTGCACCAGACCTGGAAGATATATCATCTCCTGATGACTATTGTTTAAAAAAAACGTGATCTGCCTCTGACACAGCAACATTGTTTTTTAGTTCATGATGAGAGAAAACTGTTGGAAGAATTCAAATAATAAGTTCTGTGATCTTTGATAACATTTAGTGATAATTGAAGAAACTTTTAGTTTGTATTGTTCTGGAGATGTGAATGAGAATATACGGTAAAACATTACCACAGTTTTAGAAACTTGATAAAACTGTTTTTTTGCACGGTTAAGACTCGAGTTTAGGAAGAGTGTTTACACTTGTAACCAGTTGTAATATTTTCTAGCATTGCTGGCAAAAATGTTTCAGATGACCTTGGAAGTGTAGGCTTTAGAAAGCTGTTTCTTACATGTATACAGACAAGTTGTGAAAGAGATTATATATTTAAAACACTGTCGATGTTGTGTTTTTGTGAAGTATATGTTGAGATGGAAATATTTATTTTTAAACCCAAATTGTCTATTTATAACATGTTTGACACTTATGTTCTTGTGGTATTTGTAGCTGGACTTGTCAAGCAAGTTGGATGATACTTGCAATGCAATAAATTGATGTTTATCGTACATTGCCTTGGTGTGTTTGTAAGCCCCATTGAGACACAGGGGCTGAATGATCAGTTAGTAGCCCACTCTTGTCTCAAGATCGACCTCCTCCGTGGTCTTATGGTGGCGCATCCGCCCGGAGAGCGGAAGGTCTGGGGTTCGATCCCCAGCCGCGTCATATCAAAAGACGTTAAAAGATGGTACTTGTTGTTACCCCGTCTGGCGCTAGGCATTTAGGGGCTAAAACAAGGATTGGTCGGCTCGGAGTTAGTATACTGTGTCTGAGTGGGGTATTTATATTAAACTGCGGCATGGTATCTCAGTGTGCTAGCACTATAAATCGACATCAGTCCGGACTAGTACAAGCAGCAACACACACACACATACACGTGCATGCACGTCGCTATATAAGTGCAATAATCTTTGATGCAAAGTTAAACCCCATTTCACCTCACCTCACACCTTGTCTCAAGATCCAAGTAATGAGGATTGGATGCGTAAGATGTGGGACTGGATGCTTGTGTGTCTGTGATTGCAGATCTTGGCTCATGCTGTCGACCAACGGTTTGCTTTGTCTAGACTTGATAAGTTACTTGCCTTTGTTGCCTTATTTATTTACAGGCCGATAAGTTACTTTGTTTGTTGTTTAACGCCGCACACAGCAATATTCCAGCTATATGACAGCGGTCTGTAAATAATCGAGTCTGGACCAGACAATCCAGTGATTGACATCATGAGCATTGATCCACGCAATTGGGATGTGATGACATGCATCAACCAAGTCAGCGAGCCTGCGATAAGTTACTGGCTAGTGTTGTTACTATGACTGGATTATTACTGTCTTGCTTACATTCACATTCACTCACTCACTACTCCCTATTTCCTATAGTTTTGGGTACCTACCAGTCAAGGAGAATGAGGGATGGTGAGGCAACCAAGTGATAAGGGTGACTCATCATGTGAAAGTCTGATCGAACCCCTAGAGAGATACAATGTGTGGGACCACATCCGTGCTGTTGTTTCTGCTTTGAGAGCAGGACCAGTGGTGTGTTCCCTGGTCGCTTCATAACAAAAGAGTTAAAAGACTTTTCATTTCCCTGACTAGTGCTAAACATTGAGATGAGAGTACAAGGACTGGTCGGCTCAAAGAACACCGTGTTTGAGTGGCGTGTACAATACATGTTAAAATGCGGCATGGTGTCTCAGGGGGCTATCACTTAATACGTGCATTAGTCTGGACTAGTAACACCCCCCAACACCCCCACCCCCCACAAACACTGATTATGAGTGCAATAAACAAGCCCTCAAACCACAATTACACCTCACCTACATTGCTAATCCCAATCCTGGTGTGTCTTTTATACTGGAAAGGTGACCTAAACTCATTCTTACAATGAGTGTTCCCCCTTATTAAGTTAGATTGATAGATGATGGATGGTATCTCATTGAATAAGAGTGTCTGGTCCAGACTTGATTATTAACAGGTCACTGTCTAAAAGGTGCACTACTGCTGAGTGCCCTGCTTAACAACAAACAAACAATATACTCTTAAAACTATAAAAAAACATGAACAGTTTCTGTTGAACAATTATTATAATATGAATATCACATATACAGTTCATAACCTCTCCTTAGTCAAAAGAAGTTTATTAATGCTGATCACAGACAGTAATAGAAAATCTAAACATCAAAGTCTCTGTGGTATTCATGTTTGTAATCCTGCCACATGTCTAAATAGAGTCACATATTTAGCCCCAAACCCAAGAATCATTGTCCAACAATGACACCAGGTGTCTGCGAAAAATGGAGAGCTCATCTTGCTTTACCGGAAGCACCTGTCCTGAGTCAGATCAAGGTCTGTACAGTTGAATAAAAACGGTTCTAGTTCACCCCAGACGGAATATACCATGACAGAGGCGATAGCTGGGAAGGTTCAGTGTTGATCAGGTTGTTCTCAAAGACTCTTGGTCCAGTAGCAGGTACGAGACATTCAGGGACTATCATGTCTGAGATTGAGACTAGACAATGGCGGCAGGTATCCACCACCACTACTTCCACTCATTTCTGACTTGGTTGATTTCTGACTTGTCACCGACTTCGACCGGGTCCTCTTTTTCTTGTTTATCCTCATTGTCTCTGCAGGTGTTTGGCGGAGAGATTCGGTCTCGCTCACAGCGATCAGACTTCGAGGACTTTCAGAGAAGATTTTGGGCAAGAAGCTTCCAGGGGTTGTAACGTTAGCAAAGGAGTTCTGTCTGCTGAGGCTGGAAGTGCCCTCCGTAGGGCGTCCAATAAACCGCGTGCCATAGATGTTGTACATTGAAGGGAAGTAGTAGCCAGACTCAGGCGCGGAAATGATGGCATCTGACTGTAAGATGCGCCGTCGATCCTCACGGCGTTTCCGTTCCAACGCTTCCTGTCTCATATCTTCCTTTCGCTCGTCACGAATGTGCTTCCTTACACCTGCAGCGAGTAACCTTCAACAGACAGACAGGTGAGTAAGTGATTGGTTAATTCATGTTTCACTCCGCAGTACTAAAAAATCCAGATATATCACCGCGGCCTGTAAATAATAAATCAGGCAAACCAACAGAAATAGCCGCAATCAAACTTGATAAAACTGCCAATTGACCCGAGCCATTGTCCCTTTAAAGGAAGACTATAGGCTCTGCGGTGAGCTGCCATACCCAGACATGTCTAGGGGCACCGGTGGCCCAGTTGTCTGAGGCGCGGCAATTCGCTATGTACAGTTGCGTCCCTTGGGCACGCCAGAAATCTGTGATAGTTGGTTTGAATCCAGCTTCGCCCCGATTATCTTTCTAGGTTTGTCAGCACAATACCCGTAGTTTTCACCATAGTGGAAAATGTCTAAGACCTGCATCACTTCAGGCGTTCATCCCACATTGAGCTGACACGCCGTGATGTAACTGGAATACTGTTAAAAGCGGGGTCAAACCCAACTCACTGTCGTAATTAGTGCCTTGCACTACTACTACCACTACTACTACTACAGATCCGGGGTAAAACAGGTCTTCAGCAACCCATCCATGCCGTAAAAGGCGTGGATCGACTGGAATATTGCTGAGAGCGGCGTTTAACAACATACTACTACTACTACTACTACTACTACTACTACTACCACTACTACTACTACTACAGATCCAGGGTAGAATAGGTCTTCAGCAACCCATGCTTGCCGTAAAAGGCGACTGTGCTTGTCGTAAGAGGCGACTAACGGGATCGGGTGGACAGCCTCGCTGACTTGGTTGATGCATGTCATCGTATCCCAATTGCGTGGATCGACCGGAATATTGCTGAGAGCGGCGTTTAACAACTAACTAACTACTACTACTACTACTACTACTACTACTACTACTGAGTTTATATAGCTCCGAATAACCATCAATAGGTACTAAGTCGCGCTGTAAATATAATAAACACATGTTAAAAGTCAGAGTACGTTGTCAAATGCTTGGTGGAACCGATGGGTTTTTAGTGGTGTCTTAAACTGGGACACTGGTGTACGTACTGGTAGTTTATCTGCCCTCCCTTGCTCATCCCGATCCTCTTCACAACTGCCTGCATTTCTTCTTCGTCTAAGGGCGCTCGTACACGCTGCAATAGAATAGTCAACTTGTGTTGGGTTGTGTGATTTCAACCACAGTATAATGGCTCGATACAAATACACTTTCTCGAGTAATAATGAACTGTCCAGCGATTTTGTTGATACCACACGAACCATCAACGCTCATCCTGGCAAGACAGTGAGACGCTCTTTGTTGGAAGGTGTGCGGAACAGACACTTTGTGCAGAAACAGAAATCCGATGCCACCACCCATCCCTTCAAATTGTAATCGAGCTATTACCGAGTGTGTCAGAAATCAAAGACAAAGTCACAAACTTTTGCAATTGAACGACAAATATTTCAACCATGACCATGTTTAGTGCCATGAATGTAAATCATTTCCTCCCATTGAACAGAACGTAAAACCTGAGTATGATAATGATGATGGTGGTGGTGATGTTGATGATGATGATGATTTATAAGCCGAATAGTCACCATCTAGGTAAAACGCTATTCAATGACTATCTTACGTCTATAGGGAATAGATAGTAGAACTTCAATACACATCTACCAACTGTATATAACGGTACCCAGTGTTTATGCAACATGCTTAAAACGCGATATAGAAAAGATAGAACAACCCAAATACACTCGGCATGTGTATAAATGTATCTCTGCCCAATCCATTTATTACGCAACATAATTCTTACTGAAAGTCTGTCTGGGTGCTGTCCTATTCACTAGAAAGAACATAAAGCAAAACTAGACTACAGTCTCCATCTTGATGTAACAAAGTCCAATACAAACTGACCGCCTCCGTGGTCTAGTGGTAGAGCGTCCGCCCGGAGAGCGGAAGGTCCGGGGTTCAATCCCCGGCCGCGTCATACCAAAAGACGCTAAAAGATGGTACTTGTTGTTGCCCTGTCTGGCGCTCGGCATTAAAGGGCTAAAACAAGGACTGGTCGGCTCGGAGTCAGTATACTGTGTCTGAGTGGGGTATTCATGTTAAACTGCGGCATGGTATCTCAGTGTGCTAGCACTATAAATCGGCATCAGTCCGGACCAGTACAAGCAGCTACACACACACGTGCATGCACGTCGCTATATAAGTGCAATAATCTTGGACGCGACGTTAAACCCAATTTCACCTCATCTCACCAATACAAACTATACAACATATTCGCCACGCTTTTTGAAAGGTCGTGTAAACCTGATTACGTTCACTATCTTGGTATAATGAATCCCAATTATTGTGCAACGTCTTTACGAGGTTAAAGAGAATAGAACTATGCTTTCAAGAATAGAGGACCGCCCCCAATCTAGCGGATAGAGCGTCTCACCGGAGAGCGGAAGGTCGGTAGTTCGATCCCCGTCCGCGGTCATGCCAAAAGACGTTAAAATATGGGGCTTAAACGAGGATTTGTCGGCTCGGATTCAGTATACTGTCAGAGTGGGGTATTAATGTTACACTGAGACATGGTATGTCAGCGGGCTAGCACTTAAAACGGGCTTTAGTCTGGACTATTGCTGGGTGCCCTGTTAAACAACAATGGGGTATCCATGTTAAACTGCGGCACGGCATCTCAATTGGCTATCATCACAAAATCGGAATTAGTCAGGGCAAGTACAAGCAGCTGCAGCTACACATACGTGCATGCACGTCGCCATTTCAGTCCAATAATCTTGAACGAGACGTAAAACCCCATTTTACCTCATCTTCAAGAACATTGACATCTTTTGACACCCAATTATTGTGCATTATATAGTATCTATACTATACTTTACCAAAACGTCAACGTATGGGTATTACGAATGTAAAGAGACTTTCCAAATCAACTGAATGCTAAAAATGGCGAGTGAGTGAATTGGGTTTTAACGCCACTTTCAACATTTTTTTTCAGTTATATCACGGCATGTCAGAATCATGTGGGAGGAAAACACCGAAGTGATGCAGGTCTCAGACGTTTACCTCTTTGGTGAAACCCACGAGCACGGTATGGTGCTGACAAATCTAGAAACATAATCGGGGTGAACAGAAATTCGAACCCTCAATCATAGGTTTCTGGCGTGTCCAAGGGACGCAACTCTGCACAGCGAATTGCGGCGCCTTACACGACTGGGCCACCCGTGCCTGCAGGAACATCAACGATCGTTTTAGGGTAATGTTTGTTTGATTTAAGTTCCTTGGGCCTAATAAGATCTTCTCACATGTTAACTTGACTACTCTGCGTTCACGGAAACTTGGGACGTGTCACGTTATATTTTACCCTGTCCCCCAAATGCATTCCAGAACACACTGAATAGAAACTGATCTTTGTCAGGGAGTCTAAATGTAGATGGTGTTAGAGGATGTTCACCCAGACGAGGAGGTTTTAGACTTTTGTACCCTTTTCTGGTATATTTTGTATCTAAAGACACATAGGGGAGGTCCTATTCGCCTTTCATTTTTATCGTTAATCATTGAGCTAGATGTTTATGAAAAATTAGATTTTTGTAGGCAATACATTATCGAATCTCACTAACCTAACACATCCTGTTACATTTAAATGGCAACACGTTTTTAAAATGTCAAAACCTTTTTTGTTACTGCTACAAGATGTTTGTGTTTTGATGATTTTAATACAAAAAGTAGACATCAAAGATTGTACTAGGCAGCCAATCAAACTTTATATAAAAAATACTTCAACGAAAATATTTGAAAATAACGTATACTATCTCCCATTTTTATGTCAATATATGTCTTTGACAAACTTAACTGTATTAACAATAATATGTGAAGTTAGAATACCCACTGTATTAGACTATTTCTCTATATTTTAGTCATGAAAGAATGCAGTGAAACAACGCGCTTACCTTAAGCCCTCGGATAAACTTTTCTTTCGACACGTAAAACCTATTTTCCGTATCGAACATTCGAAACAGATCGACGACTCGGATCCCAATTGTGCCTAAATATCTTGTTAGCAGCGACATGGGGTCTTGGCGCTTCACTGAAAGGCAGTTAGTATTACAATTTAGAAATTTATAAGCATTAAATAATTTCACACAAGATTTTACGGGGGAAAAACAAGCATTTGAACAACAACAATCAAAAACAGCGCCAAGAAAAATAAATGCATTGCCATGCCAAAAACACTGCACTCAAGATAAAATGGGGATAAAATCACAAGTGACAACCAAGCATTCCTTCACTGCATTCAGTTGTGTGGAAAACAGCATCGCAGTTATTTGGTACGTATATAAATGTATACCATGCCATATGCTAAGCGCATGTTTACGTTTTGCCTTAGATGGTAGTTTACAATTCAACGTTGTTTATACATCAAAGATTATTTTTGTAGTGTACATAGTAGTGACATTTCTTTTCTTAAATATGAAATTGAAAATCAAACTCAAAACATTTGATTTATCTCCTTTAAAAACAATTAAATCTAATCATTTATTTAATTTAAATAAATTACAGCTATTTTTTTTATAGACAATAGGTTTTTGTTGTCATATTTATCAATGATTCTACCTTTCCACATCCTTTAAAACGTCCCGTTTCCGTGCCGGAATTTATTGCTGAGTTCGGTGTGAAACCATACTCTCCCTGACTTATCAACTCGGGCTATGGGGTAGTCTAGTTGTTCAAGTGTAGGCTTGTCACGCCGAAGATCCGAGTTTGATACATGATACGTGAAGCCTATTGTTGGTGTTCCAGCAGTCATAGTGAGGGATTATTTCTTAGAACGGCGTGAAACCATACTCACTCACTCACAACATGATGTGAACATGTAATTCTTTATTCCTGTTTGATCAACACAAGCTACTCGATCACAGAACCCTTAAAATCATGCAATTTATTTTCATAAGCATCGCCTTGACGTAATATTGTTAAAGTCTCTTCATAAACTTTGATACCGCCTCTGTGGTCTAGTGGTAGAGCGTCTGCCTGGACGGCGGGGGGTTGGGGGTCCGATCCCCTTTTTTTCATAAGCATCGCCTTGCCGTAATATTGTTACAGACTCTCCATAAACTTTTAGACCGCCTCTTTGGTCAAGTGATAGAGCGTCCGCCTGGACAGCGGAAGGTCGGGGGTTCAATCCCCGGCCGCGTCAAAAACCACTAAAAGCTGGTACTTGTTGTTACCTAGCATGGCGCTCGGCATTAAGGGGCTAAAACAAGGACTGATCGTCTCGGAGTCAATATACTATGTCTGAGTGGAGTATTCATGTATCTCAGTGGTGTGGCACTATAAAATCGGGATTAGTTCGGACTAGTACAAGCAGCCACAAAAAGATGTTAAAAGATGAAAGAGACACATTCGTGTCAACAAAGACAGGCAGTGGTAAATCACTTTCATCCGAAGGTGTATCAGTCGAGGATTTTGTGAAACGTTCTCTGATTGGAGTATCGATATGTGCGATGAAGGATGGATCCAAATCACAATTCATAATAATATTAATATAAATAATATCATTCCTGTCACATCTATTGTTAACAAATCCAAACATACCTTCCTTCAGGTCTTTTTGTAGTAGGAAAGAAGACATTATCAATATTGGTCATAAAAATAGTAGTTTTGCAGTTAAGTATTGGTCGGTTCATGTAACACACACTCATTACAGCGTATATAGAAAGCTTCTGTATCAGTGACATTTTCCATTTGTAGATTAACAATGTGGAGCCTTCACAAAGCCATTTAAAATATATTCCACCTCACCCAACCCCACCACACTTAATGTGTCCATGGCCTTATGAGAAGTGTAGGGCTCTCTGTTGTGCGCTATATACCAGCTCGTAGCAATGATAATGCTTGTTAATGGATCCGACATGTATGCATCTTTGTTAACAAACTGATATCATTAGTCATATATTAGATTTTTAAAATGAGACAAAATGTTGATCATAACTCATTTACAGTAACATTTTTGATATTCTTGTGCAGTTTTAACAATTTATCAGTACTGTAAGAATAATTCTAATGTTAAAATTTCTAACCTTATGGCGAACGATAAATATTACAAAGGAAAGCGTTCACAAATACATGATAAATGGCTATATTTGAGCTTAACGATGACGGTGACAACAACCCTCACCTCTCTGAATGCCGATGATGTCGTGAGTGCTGAGGATGCCCCCGTGATGGAGAGTGAACTTCCGGGTGCGGGAGATCTCCGTTGCACTGAAGGCAACCTTGGAGTTGATTGGTATGTTCTGAAAAACAACGGCAACGACTATAATAACTACATTTTCTTTAAAAGAGCCCGTCTATCATATCGGGTAACTTATCGGAATTTTCTTTTTCTTCTAAACTTTGGGTAGAATAAGATGACTCAAACGTTGCCAGCTGACAAGTTTATGTTTTGTCTCAACCAGATCATGGTATACGGCTTGCCAGCAGGTCTAAGGAGCCGAAATTCGCGGTGCAGAGTTGCTTCCCTTAGTCGTGCGTGACTGTTAGGATCCGTTTAGTAGTGGGTTCGAATCCAATCTTCGCCGTGATTATGATCCCTTTTATGTTAGTCCTATGGCTGCGATCGTGGATATCACAAAGGAGTATTATAACGGTCCATACCAGCGTCACTTTAGGCGTCTCCCGATTTCACCGATATTCCGTGATATTAATTAAATACTGATCAAAGTGGCGTTAAACCCAACTGACTCACGCGATGTGACCCTGGTTATGGACCTGATATACTCATTGTATGGGCAGGTTGCCTGACTAGGTAATTGTATGGGCAGGTTGCCTGACTAGGTAATTGTATGGGCAGGTTGCCTGACTATGTCATTGTATGGGCAGGTTGCCTGACTAGGTCATTGTATGGGCAGGTTGCCTGACTAGGTCATTGTATGGGCAGGTTGCCTGACTAGGTCATTGTATGGGCAGGTTGCCTGACTAGGTCATTGTATGGGCAGGTTGCCTGACTGGGTCATTGTATGGGCAGGTTGCCTGACTGGGTCATTGTATGGGCAGGTTGCCTGACTGGGTCATTGTATGGGCAGGTTGCCTGACTATGTCATTGTATGGGCAGGTTGCCTGACTAGGTCATTGTATGGGCAGGTTGCCTGACTAGGTCATTGTATGGGCAGGTTGCCTGACTGGGTCATTGTATGGGCAGGTTGCCTGACTAGGTCATTGTATGGGCAGGTTGCCTGACTATGTCATTGTATGGGCAGGTTGCCTGACTGGGTCATTGTATGGGCAGGTTGCCTATCTATGTCATTGTATGGGCAGGTTGCCTGACTGGGTCATTGTATGGGCAGGTTGCCTGACTGGGTCATTGTATGGGCAGGTTGCCTGACTAGGTCATTGTATGGGCAGGTTGCCTGACTAGGTCATTGTATGGGCAGGTTGCCTGACTAGATCATTGTATGGGCAGGTTGCCTGGCTAGGTCATTGTATGGGCAGGTTGCCTGACTAGGTCATTGTATGGGCAGGTTGCCTGACTATGTCATTGTATGGGCAGGTTGCCTGGCTAGGTCATTGTATGGGCAGGTTGCCTGACTATGTCATTGTATGGGCAGGTTGCCTGACTATGTCATTGTATGGGCAGGTTGCCTGACTATGTCATTGTATGGGCAGGTTGCCTGACTAGGTCATTGTATGGGCAGGTTGCCTGACTAGGTCATTGTATGGGCAGGTTGCCTGACTAGGTCATTGTATGGGCAGGTTGCCTGACTAGGTCATTGTATGGGCAGGTTGCCTGACTAGGTCATTGTATGGGCAGGTTGCCTGACTGGGTCATTGTATGGGCAGGTTGCCTGACTGGGTCATTGTATGGGCAGGTTGCCTGACTGGGTCATTGTATGGGCAGGTTGCCTGACTAGGTCATTGTATGGGCTGGTTGCCTGGCTATGTCATTGTATGGGCAGGTTGCCTGGCTAGGTCATTGTATGGGCAGGTTGCCTGACTAGGTCATTGTATGGGCAGGTTGCCTGACTATGTCATTGTATGGGCAGGTTGCCTGACTAGGTCATTGTATGGGCAGGTTGCCTGACTGGGTCATTGTATGGGCAGGTTGCCTGACTAGGTCATTGTATGGGCAGGTTGCCTGACTATGTCATTGTATGGGCAGGTTGCCTGGCTAGGTCATTGTATGGGCAGGTTGCCTGACTATGTCATTGTATGGGCAGGTTGCCTGACTGGGTCATTGTATGGGCAGGTTGCCTGACTATGTCATTGTATAGGCAGGTTGCCTGACTAGGTCATTGTATGGGCAGGTTGCCTGACTAGGTCATTGTATGGGCAGGTTGCCTGACTAGGTCATTGTATGGGCAGGTTGCCTGACTATGTCATTGTATGGGCAGGTTGCCTGACTAGATCATTGTATGGGCAGGTTGCCTGACTAGGTCATTGTATGGGCAGGTTGCCTGACTATGTCATTGTATGGGCAGGTTGCCTGACTAGGTCATTGTATGGGCAGGTTGCCTGACTAGGTCATTGTATGGGCAGGTTGCCTGACTAGGTCATTGTATGGGCAGGTTGCCTGACTATGTCATTGTATGGGCAGGTTGCCTGACTAGATCATTGTATGGGCAGGTTGCCTGACTTGGTCATTGTATGGGCAGGTTGCCTGACTATGTCATTGTATGGGCAGGTTGCCTGACTATGTCATTGTATGGGCAGGTTGCCTGACTATGTCATTGTATGGGCAGGTTGCCTGACTGGGTCATTGTATGGGCAGGTTGCCTGACTGGGTCATTGTATGGGCAGGTTGTCTGACTAGGTCATTGTATGGGCAGGTTGCCTGACTATGTCATTGTATGGGCAGGTTGCCTGACTAGGTCATTGTTTGGGCAGGTTGCCTGACTATGTCATTGTATGGGCAGGTTGCCTGACTAGGTCATTGTTTGGGTACTTTGCCTGACTATGTCATTGTATGGGCAGGTTGCCTGACTATGCCATTGTATGGGCAGGTTGCCTGACTATGTCATTGTATGGGCAGGTTGCCTGACTATGTCATTGTATGGACAGGTTGCCTGACTAGGTCATTGTTAAAAGGCTGTGAAATGTATTCACAAGTGTACATGCGAAGATTATATGTGTTCTTTGATGAAGCTTCATTTAGACTTACGTACGATTATTTTACAGAAGAGCGTATTTACCTCTAATCCTAGATGTCTGAGACAACAGGTTGGTTTAGCTATTGCATCTAGGAGCTCGTCACACCCCTCCATCGACAGCGGGTTATGGCCGAGCTGGAACAACAATCGTACACTCATGACCTTGCTGGCTGCAATAGTCTTAAAAAAGCTGCCCTATGAAACTTTATCCTGATAGCTGAACTCGACACTGCAATTTGATGATTGCGGCACACACTTGACCAAATTCTCTTAATCAAGCTTCACGCATTTCCTGATACTAGCACCGCAAAGTGACAATTGCAGCACATGCTTGACCTCGCTCTCGTCCTCATGCCATGCCATAATTGTTGGTTTTGGTAATAATAACTATTCTTAATAGTGTAACTAAGTTCTTTCTTCCTTTAGTTACTTGAGACACTGTTTCACTCGTAACAATACTGACACTACAAAACGATGCCTGGAGCATATGATTAACCCAGTAATGTCCATGGCGTTTGACAGTTGTCTAATACTGGCACAGCAAGACTATGCATATGGGGCACATGATTGGCCCAACCTCGACTGTGCTGGCACAGCAAGACGGTGATTGAGTGTGATTGACTATTCCTCTCCAAATCCATGACTTTATCAGATTTATCGTACATAGCGCAGTAGTCTTATCTTAGCACAATGAACAGATCATACAAAATATTACCATTGCCGTAGTTTTATTTGTCATTCTTAGCAAGATGCGGCTATTGCAGCACAACACGGCAGTTATTGAGGCATCCTGTTACTCCCCATTGTCATTAACGAGTTGTCTTACACCGACACAGCAAAACCAGAATTGAACATCGGATTTATTTTCCTCTGAAGTGATCTTGTGCCACAAGAGTCTACTCACGTCAAGCACCTCGAGACACCTGTTTGCTCGGATCCCCCTGCCGATGTAAGGCACACAGTCCCAGTTGATCCTGTTGTTAGCCATATCCAGCACCTTCAGGGTTCTGTTCATCTTCAGGGATTCCCCTATGGCCAGACTGCCTTCAAATCCAAAACCATTCCACGATACGTCCAGTTTCCGAATAGTGTGATTTTTCTGCTCAAACATTGGTTACATATTTTTGTGAACACTATGTAAATCAACAGGAATAGATAGACAACACTGGCGTGATGGCATACAAAGGATATATTATAGAAAGGATTATCACTGATGGAACGTTGATGAAGTTGTTCGTGAAGACGATGGCGTACCTGCAGACTCTTACAGACGGACACGGCACCGCTTGTTCTGATCTGGTTCCAACTGACGTCAACATACTCCAGGTAGTTGTTCACACCTGGTAATCAAAAGAATATTTGAATAAGGTAAGATTGGCTGGACGTGTTTTAATTCCACTCTCTGAGTGTTGGAATGTACTGGTCATTTACAAGTAGTCGGAATGTTCAATGTGGTCATCACAAAGTCGTATTAAAACACTTACAGGCAAATGTTTGTTTAATCACGATTCAGGAATTATATTCCCAACAGCGTATCACAAATTGTATTTTTCTCTCAATTAGATTAATTTGATGGATCGTGGCGTCGTTATAAATGTTTAATCATGCTGACCGCCCCGACATTTCTATTGAGTTTTAGACTTTCAACTTTCATCATCCATCATGATTAACAGTATGCCAATGTTAGTTTGCTATATTCAGGTATACGTTGTCACTTTATCCGTGAAGATCCTATTTAGAATAGGTCTTTGGCAACCCTTTTTGACGTAAAAGGCGACTATGCGTTTCGTAAGAAGCAACTAACGGGATCTGGTGGTCAGGCTCCCTGACTTTGTTGATGCATGTCATTGTATCCCATTTGCCTAGATCGATGCTCATGATGTCAATCACTGGATTGTCTGGTCCAGACTCGATTATTACAGACCGCCGTCATATAGCTGGAATATTGCTGGAGTGCGGCGTTAAACAACACACAAACAAAACAAAAACATGTCAGTTCTCTCAATGAACCTGAAGGGAACCTTATTCAGGCCAGTGTTAGGTCAGCTTACATCATGTTTATTTACCAGCCTTTTGATATGCATAAGTGTGAAACAGAGAAATTGATTACGGCGAATGTATTCCACCACGAACAATGAACTTCAATGTTTTCATACATGTTTTTGGGTGTCATCTATCTGGTCTTCCATACATACCCAACGCTCTTCCAAGTTGAATACCTCCAAGGATGCCGATCTTGTTGTGACTCAAAGACAGCCAATTCATACTCTCGTTGTTCTGAAATTGATTAAAAAACACCATCGTACACCATGGAACATGCAGCCATTTAATACACTCGTTGTTCTAATATGAAAAACACCACACCAAACAACATAATACATTCAGCCATCTGTACTTAACCATAACTCCGAAGTAATTTTTATATTTACATCATGATCCAATTTACTGAACGTCTATGGTGAGTGAGTTGATGTTGTTTTACGTCGCATCAGCAATGTTCCGTCTATATCACGGCGGCCTGTAGAGTCCAGACAAACCAGTATGACCAATGGATCAATGACGCAGATTTCATTGCAACCACCCTATCATAATATTAGTCGACCCTTACACGACTATTCATCGCGCTACTACACTGTCTCATCACAACCGCCTCCGTGGTCTAGTGGTAGAGCGTCCGCCCGGAGCGCGGAAGGTCCGGGGTTTGATCCCCGGCCGCGTCATACCAAAAGACGTTAAAAGATGGTACTTGTTGTTACCCTGTCTGGAGCTCGGCATTAAGGGGCTAAAACAAGGACTGGTCGGCTCGGAGTCAGTATACTGTGTCTGAGTGAGGTATTCATGTTAAACTGCGGCATGGTATCTCAGTGAGCTAGCACTATAAATCGGCATCAGTTCGGACTAGTACTAGCAGCCACACAAACACACACACGTACATACACGTCGCTATATAACTGCAAGAATCTTGGACGCGACGTTAAACCCCATTTCACCTCACCTGTCACATCACAATGTGGCTCAGTCGCAGCTCAATAGAGGGTATTAAGGTAGGGTATAAGACAATGACTGGGACCTCACGTCAATCAGGCGTTAAAAGACGTAAACTTCACCCCGTATGCTCAAAAGGCTACATTATCAGTGTGCACTCGAATTTCTTTCTTCCTAGTGAGTATACAATCCTAGCTGCCTTCTGGGACGCAATAAATTAACAGTCACATCTCATCTCATTCTATCGGGTACCTATTTACTGCTGGGTGAACAGAGGCATATTGCTAGGGCATGTCTAAGGTGACACCACCGAATCCCTATAAGCTCCCAGGAGTCAAACCTGCGAAACACGGTCACCCATCCACCTACTCTCCGCCACCAACTCTGCTTAACTGGCCTGATTTATGACCTGTGCCACATGGGGCCAACGTGTACATGGGACCACGTGTCATCACTTACCTGTATGCCTGTTGCCAGGTGGAGTATCTCGTGGTCACCTATCTGGCAACCTGTGAATAGCAAAGAATACATACTAGCAGAGATCGTGAGCAGTCATCCTCGCGCATGACCTTACGTTGAGGTAGCATGTTGGAAGAGAACCCAATTGGCTCAGTTTATAGACGTTTATTTACCACTTTGCTGAAATCTATGGCCTATTTTGAGTTGGTTTGATTGTTTATTGTTTTACGCCACACTCAGCAATATTTCATCTATATGACGGCGGTCTGTAAATAATCGAGTGTGGACCAGACAATAAAGTTATTGATATCATGAGCATCGTTCCACGCAATTGGGAAACGGTGACATGCATCAACCAAGTCAGCGAATCTGGCCACCCGATCCCGTTAGTCGCCTCTTACGACAAGCATAGTCGGTTTAACGGTAAGGATGGGTCGCTGAAGACCAATTCTACCAAGGACCTTCACGGGTCACCTAGTTTGGTACGACAAACCAAGAACCATAGTCAGTATGAATATTGGATTCGAACTCACAAAGAACACGGGTCCTGGCTAATCTAACACACGCAGTTGTGCATTAACATGACATGGGATTAAGATTTGAATGAGTGATGCGGACATCATGAATTTTTTAAATTATATTTTTCGTAAGTCCACTGAGAACGTGCAACAGCTGGACACCTTTGTGTCGAAATGTGATAAGTCAAATTTTCGGTAATGTCGAACTGATTGCGAGGTCCCGGCGAATTCCACCAATGGTTATTTGACTTCAAATTGTCGGTTGTCTAGTACTTCATGTGTTGTCCCAAATGACAAATTCAAACACAAAATTGCCCTTCGTAGAAAAAAATATCTGAAATATATAGCATGAACTATTTACTTACTGTGCAAGTTAAGCTGTGTGATGGTAGTTGTCAACTGTAGCAGATCTGAAAGCGCCACTGAACCCTTGTTTTCCAATGTGTTGGCCTTCAGACTCTGGGAAACACAACATTCCATGCTTGTTGAGATGAACAGGCTCTTTGTATCAGGATATCAAGGCGTGGACAGTATTAAGCAATGTTATTTTTTACGGTTCCTTGTTTGACTTTCGTGACAGAGAAACAGTATCACAATGTCGGTTTGACATCCAGATCTATAATTTCAACAGTGTAAATATTATGATTATACAATGCAATAATATTGCATAAATTACCCATATGATAATTTTTTTCTATTAAAACGTATTGAAATTATACAGATTTGGTTTAATACAAAACTTTTCTTTAACATACTGAAGATACGGGTTAACGTCAATGATCTCAAATCTGTTCAGTACATGTTTGAGGGTCGGTCGGGTAGCCTAGTGGTTAAAATGTTCGTTAGTCACGCCGAAGACCCCGGTTCGATTCCCGACATGGGTTCAATGTGTGAAGCCCATTCATGTTGTCCTCCGCCGTGATATTGCTAGAATATTGCTAAAAGCGGCGCAAAACCATACTCACTCACTCACTGTACATGTTTGAACATTGTAATAGGGCTGAAACTGGGTCCTCTGTCTCACCACTCGGGAGATGAACGTGTTCTTTTTCAGGAGGTCCGAGATGAGAGCGATGCCCGCGCCGTCCATACCATTACCTTCAAGGTCAAGGTCCTCTACTTTTGTGTTTTCCTGGATGGAAGAGGACGAGTTTGTGTCAAACAGGCACCCCGAGTACATTGTAAGTTGTAGCAGGATCACCCGGGGTACATTGGGTTTTGTGCGTCCCTCGTAGGTTTTATACCACTCGCCTCGAACACCTAAAATCGCGTGTACCCCGAGTGATTCTGCTACAACGAATTTATCTTACTGACATGTTTCAATGGGACAATCTAAATGAATTAAAACAAATTCAAAATTGAAAGAATACTGCTGTTCGATTGAGCTGAGGTTAACTTGTGCTATGTCACGTGACTTTCATTGACTTGAAACAAGCGTGAGGCTTTTTTTTCAAAGTGGGGTATAAGGGATTTATTCTGCCACTCAGAAGTCCACGCGCAGCTTGTCTTGTTCGTGGCGGGGTATAAGGGATTTATTCTCCCGCTGAGAAATTTATTTCGGGATACATAATATTTTATCAAGATCAACTGAACCAATCAGATGTCATCATTCTGACATGGAGGTATGATAAATAAATATGTAGACATATATCTTGTACCATTGTTATATCATCACGTAGCTTTTAAACATGTAAAAATGTAACATCCATCACGTTAAGTACATATATCCGTTGACACTTTTCGCTTCTAATGTATCTGGTTTCAGCCAGCTCCAAAAATCACCAAAAGGCCCACAAATGCTTTTGCTATTCCCGAAATGTTTTTAACACAGGCATTTTGTTTCAATTACTGGATGTGAAATAGGGTCGGGAATTGTCAGTTGATGTAGGTTCGTAAAACGTCATTCACTCTCTAAAGTAGGGAGTCATGGTCCCCTGAAGTTACAGCGTCAGTAAACCGCTAGTAGTACTACGTGAGAAGCTCATCCGAGGTAATCCCCGCCGTGGTAAGGCGGGACACATTGCTAAAAGCACATAAATACTCATTAACCAACTCTTTATTATCAATGTTTATAAACGCATAAACCTGTTTAGCCAAATCTTGTTCAAACTTGGAGTCAGACAGTCTTTAACCGTTAACACCTTACCACGAGTCCCGCGCATATGGCCTTGACCTGTTTGACGTTTAGTCCCACGTGCTGCAGTTGCATTTTCGTAAGCCATAGCTGTGACACGACCCTCCTGAGGGGCGTGGCCCCATGAGTCTTGCATGCTTCCTCGTATGAGAGGTGGCCGATGTCTGTGTTCTCTCGACAGATCAGGAGCTGTTGTTCCAACTCCTTGTGGCGGAACTCGTCCTCTAAAAGAACAGAACAGATCAGAACTTTATTAAGCTCAGGCCGAGATCCTCGGCATATGAGGTACAAAATGACAGCAAAATACACATTATAATAGCGGATATGTGGTTAGCCGGAAGATTTTACAATTTGCATTACATATTTACAGAATTTACTAAGGTTTTTTTAAAACAGATATCTCTTTACAAGTGAAAAGTCTTTGAAATTTAATCATATTAGGTCTTTTAGAATATGTAGGTGGGATATACAAAATTCTTTCTTTAGTAAAATATGGACATTTAAAAATATAGTGAAATTCATCTCCAATATCATCAATAAAACACAGTTTACATTTTCTTTCACAAATAGGTATCCCATTCCATCTTCCTTTTTCAATTGGTAAGTGGTGGCATGAAGTACGAAATAAAAGTAGAGGGATAGCTTTATTTAGGGGTAGGGACGTCAGATAATTTTCTAAAGAGGGAGATAAATCAATCAACTCTCTTGAGCCGCTGAAGCTGCTTGGTCCACGCGACTGCTCTTTCTGTTTACAAGACAATTCAATGTGTTTTTAAAGCTTGACACCAGCAGTGTGGTATCTCCTCCTTACAAGCCAATGCTCGAGAACAGGACGCTGATTCATAGGTCAACATCATATGACCCTCTTGTGCCATACAAATGACATTGCTGCTTTGATGAAGTGTGTTTTTCTTAAACAGATATTCAGGCTCATAGTTTTAATTTGAGTAAGAGAGTGAGTTTACTTAAGTAAAGAGGCCACCGGCCCATTATACAATATGGATACAGTGGATTACAACAATAACAGGCGCCAGATAATATAAGTGATATACATAGTGAAACAATTGAATTATTGCATACATTTGAAAAACTGTTGTCGTTTCTTGAAAGCAAGAAGAATATATTTAGCTAATTTATTAACAACATGTCCAGTTTGGCAAGACATAAGAGTGCAAAATTTATCAAATGAAGGTTGTGAATGGTAATACTTAGGTATGAGGCTATTTCTCATATCTGAGTAAAATTGACATTAAATGCAGAAATGATACTCAGTTTCAATTACACGGACTACACAAAATGGACATAAGCGTTCATCACTTGAAAGACCAATTTTTCTACCTTCTTCAAGCATTAGGTTATGGCTAGAACAACGGAAAGAACTAGGAGCAAATTGATATACTCTAACAGGTATTGATGTTAAATATCTTTCTAATACAATGCATGGTTTAATTTGTAAATACATTGTAATTTGGAAAATGTTTTTAATAACTTAACCAAGTTTGCTGATTTATATCTATACATCTTTGCTTAAAACAAACAATAAACTTATTTTCATTTGAAACATCTTGATTACACCAGACAGAACCAAAACCATATGATAATAATAATTGTTTTACATGAAAAGCCTAACATTCATAGTTTTAATAAAAATATATGTGGTTTTGCAGTCGTAGCTTAAAAGATGCAAATACCATTAAAAACCTCCATCCTCCGAATATCGGTACCTTACTTCAATCCTCACATGCTGTTCTCCCTTATTATTCCTTGTTTTACTAATTATATTGATTTCTTTTATTTGTTTCTCTACTCTCATCAGCTATGATTATGGTCTTATTTAATACTTTGTGATTCTCTCAGAAGCCGTTATCTTCTTTTAGAGCGTCTGTCCGGAGGGCGGAAGGTCGGGAGTTCAATCCCCGACCACGTCACACCTAAAGACGCTAAACGATGCTACTTGTTGTTACCCTTCTTGACGCTCGGCATTAAGTGGCTAAAACAAGGACCGGTCGGCTCGGGATTCGATCCCCGACTGCGTCATACAAAAAGATGGTGCCCTGGTTTTAAGGGACAAAAAACAAGGACTGATCGGCTCGTAGTCAGTATACTGTGTCTGGGTTGGGTATTCATGTTAAACTGCGGCATGGTATCTCAGTGGGTTAGCCCCATAAAGTCGGCATTACTCCGGACGTTCAACCCCTTTCACCTCACCTCTCTCAGAAGCACATGAATGGAAACTCCTCGTCGAAGTGACAGGTGTTTAATCAGGCTGAAGGTAATGCCAATAAGCTTTGTAAAGATTTGTTTGCACAAGTTAAGGAGAATTATCTGCTTAATTCCCTAAATGCCGCTTAGAATTGGTCTTCAACAACTCATGTCGGCTAGACTGACATTTAGTCCCAGAAATAAAGTTATCTTATTTAAATATATATAACTAATAAAGAGAATACAATTCAAATGGAGCCCAAAACAATCCTTAATTCCTAGAGCTGAGGCAAATTAGATTCTAGACTTGATTTGAAATCCTTAATTTGTTCTCTTGGGTCTGGTGACAGACTAGGGGACTATTCAGTGCTGGGTGTTTCCCCGAGGAATGATCATCTAAACTCATCAAACCTCCACACAAGAAAGGATCACGTATAGAGGTAGTCCTTTGATAGACATACCTGTCAAAATAATTCACCTTCAACTTAAATAATACTATTGACAACATATTTGTACAAAGCCTTGTGCAGAAATATCTCTCTTAAAAAATGGGGACTAGAAATCAACTTATACAAAAAAGTGAATCGTGAAAAGAACGGAAAAATGGAAATACGGCGGTATTAACATGAAGGTTTTCACTTATTACAATGATTTAGATGGGTTTTTTTCTCGCCGCGACTATCAAAGCTGTCAACATTATAGCATTGAAGGTAAACAATCTTCACGATTAAATCGTGACAAAGAAGCTTCAAGTACATCCAGCCAAACATACTAATTAAGATATTCAATGTACAGATAAAACCAATCCTATAGTACGATCAGAGATAAGAGGGCTCAGAAAAGACCAATCACCGAAGTTTCAATCTTAATCTGTGAATTTGTTTCATCTGCAGGATATAACAGGTCTTAACACAATAAATACATGACGGTGGGAACGACTCCCTTATGCAAGGAGATTATGTCATCTATGGGTGTAATTGAAACTGAATATCACTTCCTACTTCTTAACGCAATACCTTCCACCGTATCTTTGTTGCATTGTTATTCTGTTAAAGAAATAGAACAATTTGCTTGTCACTATCAACTTCGTTCTACAAAATAACTGTGCTGAATTAATTGAGACGTCATTTTATCAAAGAAAAATGTTACTGAATGGTTTCATACTGTTTCCCAATTGTCATAATAATCGCTAACCTTTACACCGAAGTTAACCATTACTACGTAATGTTCGCGACATCCAAGCAACACTGCAGATACAAATAGGTATAGGTAGAAAACAGCAAATTATATATATTTCCTTCCAATTATGTCTTCTTCAAATTCATTTCAAAGTCTATGATGTGGTGTGGCTATATGGTGTGATTAGCTTCTTGTTCAGTCACATCACGCACTAATTAACTTTTAAGTAAGCAAGTTAATCAGAAAACGCTAACCAGGCTCGTTCATTATTAATGACACAGTCGTGGGTTTAGTAGCACAAGGGCTTCCAGTTTCAACACCGCATTGGAGTAAGATAAGGAATGAATGGAGGGTTGGGCAGGGCGTCACGGCTACCAGAGACTGGATTTCGAGTCCCAGGGAGCAGGGGCAGGAGGAAACTGTACTGGAATTATGTTCACCTACTTGATCAGCACATGTTGAGAATTTCCAAAATTCTGCAAAATCATGATTAAGACATTTAAGTGATATATGAAATGCTCTTTCCCACCTATGATTGTATATAGGTGAGGTGAAATGGGGTTTAACGTCGCGTCCAAGATTATTGCACTTGTGTGGCTGCTTGTACTAGTCCGGACTGATGCCGATTTATAGTGCTAGCTCACTGAGATACCATGCCGCAGTTTAACATAAATATCCCACTCAGACACAGTATACTGACTCCGAGCCGACCAGTCCTTGTTTTAGCCCCTTAATGCCAGCGCCAGACAGTACAACAAGTACTATCTTTTACGTCTTTTGGTATGACGCGGCCTGGGATCGAACCCCGAACCTTCCGCTCTCCGGGCGGACGCTCTACCACTAGACCACGGAGGCGGTCCTATGATTGTATATATATAATAAGCATAGATCATCATTGTACTTATAATGTGGTTATGTTCTCTGTTAACCTCAATTTGCTATGTTATGTAGCCCTGAGTGTAAATAAAGTTCATTTCAGTTCAGAACATGACCGGTTACATTTCACACCGGCGTGTGAGGTGAAATATATTGAATTGAGAGCGTTTGGTGCAACAAAGAATAACAGCTCAAAGAGTACCAGGGAGTACGTTTCATATTTAATGTGATGGTTTCATATATAATGTGATGATAAAACTACGTTTGATGAAAATGGTATAGGTCAGCATCTTGTCAACGTGTAAAATTTCATTGATTGCATATACATCCCGCCCGTGAAGATCCGGGTTAGAATAGGTCTTCAGCATCCCATGCTTGTCGTAAAAGGCGGGGAGGTGACGAACGGGATCGGGTGGTCAGGCTCACTGACTTGGTTGATGCATGTCATCGTATCCCAATTGCCTAGATCCATGCTCATGATGTCCAGCACTGGATTGTCTTGTCCAGACTCGATTATGTACAGACCGGGGTCATAAAACTGGAATATTGCTAAGTGCAGTGTTAAACAACAAACAAACATAGGTATGCAAGCTGTTCAATCTCAGTAGAACATGTCAGTGAAAGCGAACACCATTTCCATATTCATGGGTGAGGTGAGGTGAAATATGGTTTAACGTCGCGTCCAAAATTATTGCACTGATATAGCGATGTGCATGCACGTGTGAGTGTGTGTGTGGCTGCTTGTACTAGTCCGCGGACCAATGCCGATTTTATACTGCTAGCCCGCTGAGATACCATGCCACAGTCTAACATGAATACCCCACTCAGACACAGTATACTGACTCCGAGCCGACCAGTCCTGAATTAAACCTCTTAATGCCGAGCGCCTGGCAGGGTAACAACAAGTACCATCTTCTAAAGTCTTTTGGTATGACGCGGCAAGGGATCAAACCCCGGACCATTCGCTCTACGGGCGGACGCTCTTCAACTAGACAACGGAGGGAGTCTTCCAAAATCATAAGAAACCTTTTCTGACTACATTGTACGATTCCGACTATATCATGAGCATGTGTTCATGAATCACTATCAAATAATGATGACACAAGGTGTATCCTGCCCCACCGGTGGCACCCGTCACAAACACATACAAAGGCAAGTCTATTGTTCACCTAAAACACAGGAAGATATGATACAACACAGCGGATAAACGAATATCAAACTTGCTGGAAATCCGGTTTGGATTTTTGTAACGCGTCAGTATGTAAAGTGGCGTTAATCTCCATTCATTCAGCCATTCCTTCACTCACTCACTCTCTCACTCCGTACTTACTGTCCCCCAGATCAGTGTCGTAGCCGTCATCCTCGTTGACTGAGGTGTGTCCTGCCGTTGATGGCACCGATATGTACACGTCATCAGACGGTTCCTCTTGATCAACAACCTTTCCTTTTTTGGGGTCACCCATCCCACAAAACCCCACATCGGGATCAGATGCCCCGCCCACATTCGGTCTCTTGGTCACATTCTTTCCTTCGATAAGTGGAAACTCAGTTTGATTATTTGTCATTCCATCCGGGTCCTGAGTTAAATCCGGACTCCTTAAATGAACCCGTGAACTCTTTTTCCGAACTTTTGCACTCTTTTTATGTCCATCTGGGCTGATGAAAATACCTGCCTCTTTCCTGATATCTGGGATGGTTGAGAGGATCTTGAGTTGCCCCTCTCCCTCGTCACTTTGATAAAACTCCTCCCCCACATCATCAGATATGTCGAGGGGTGGGACTCTCGGGTCTTCATACCCCGTCTCCATACTGCATCAAAGGCTGTGAAAAGTAGATACAGCCGATATTCGTATTATCCTATGTCAATATTAACGTGGATTTGTTGAATAATGTACTCAAAGGACGTTTCAGACTTATTTACAACCAAACCACAACAGAATTAGTTTCTTACTGTGGCTTTAATTACAAAACAAACACATTCGGCAGTGATTATGTTATGATATACAACAATCCTGGCAATAAATGTACCAGACAAAGCTGATCGGAATTTTTAGTAGCTTGCTGTACAATGACCGCCACAAACAAACACTGATTACTTTTTACACTGGAATGTTCAGTTTATGTTGTTCTGGGGGAAGGCCTTCTGTGCACGTGGACACGGGCAACTGTTCTGCAGTGCAATAACGGTATTGACTGACTCATTAAATATAACAATAAAACATGCATGGTATATACTGTACAAAACAAGTTAGGGATCATTTTTTTATTTATAATCCCTGACTTGTTTTGTACAGTATACACCATGCATGTTTTTTAGTCTTTTGTTCAGTACATTTAACGTCCCAAAAATTCAAGTAAAATTTAGAACTGGTGACTATATCCTGTGAGAATATTATATTCAGAGGCAAAGGTTCATCTCTGTGAAACGAACTAAACAAAACTGCTGTAACTAATAATAACTACAAACTTCACATAATGTAAACAGTAACATGTTTGGTGCGTTTATGTATATTTCTTGTCAATCTTAGCGTTTATGAACCGATCGTGAACCATACACATGTGTATATAGATGGAGTTAGTGAGTGATGGAGTATGGTTTTACGCCGTTTTTAGCAATATTCCAGCAATATCACGGCGGGGGACACCAGAAATGGGCTTCACACATTGTACCCATGTCGGTAATCGAACCCGGGTCTTCGGCGTGACAAGCGAACGCTTTAACCACTAGGCTACCCGACCGCCCCGTATATAGGTGGAAACATATAGAAATAAATAACTTGTGTATTTCCAAAGACAAAAAAACCCGACGAAAACCCCAACAAATGCCAGAATAAAATGTTAATACAAAATAATTATACGTATTTTATGCTTATTATATGCTTAATTGTGCTTACGTGCATACTTGAACTGTCTGTTTTCGACATTTAATTTCAGATATGTATTAAAACGGAAAATAATGTTGTACTAAAATTCGTAACCAAATCAACAAAAAATTTTTTTTTGTAAAATAAGGAAACAGCACAGTTTCTAACCTGTCAGATGTAGACGGTCAAATTGGACCTTCATCCATGTCGACTTCTTGATGCGATGTGTGAGGCGTTCCTCCCCTTGTTGCAGGGCAATGTTTGTGTGTGTCCAGGCAATATCGTATATTTACCTGTTGTTTCTACCCTGCTTGTGATGATACGGCTTGCGTGGGTAACCAAATTAGATCAAAACTCACCTTAATATTTAATGCAATTACGGGAGGGGAGACGAGCCCGACCCATGATAGTTACCTATGCCGGGTAATTAACAGACCCAGTCTGGCTTATGTCAAGTTACGAAGTTTAAGGCAATGTCGACTAAGACACTAAATACAACAACGAATGCTAGTATAGATTAACAACAAATATAGCAATAAATAAACGAATGCAATACGACAACGAACACAACAACGAAAACAACTAATGCACAATAAACACAACGAATTTAACAATTGCAGTTGATATATACATAGATTACTCTCACGGTAACCTTTCAGAAATAAACATTCTATGTTTCGCAATGTTAATCTAGTGGTGTAGTTAAAGCGTTAGCTCGTCACGTCGAAGACCCGGGTTCGATTCCCCACATGGGTATATAGTGTGAAGCCCATTTATGTCCCCCCAAAGTGTGTCCATCGCCTACATATTGCTGGAATATTGCTAAAAGCGCCGTAAAATCAAACTCACTCACTCACTCACTCACTCGCTCATCAGAAATGGTTTGTTTTACAATGTACCCATGTGGGGAATCGAAGTTTGGTCTTCGGCGTGACGGGTGAACGCTCACCGCTAATCATCCCGACCGCCCCGATCCAATGTGTATTACGGAGTTTAATTTGGGTAAAATGATCAGCAATTAGAAAGACGTATTTCTTTTAAATCTATTCATCATTGTGGCACATATATGCTTCAACATTTGAGTAAATTTAGGTTGATAAAAAGTTATTGAGAATTTGTCATACCATCAGTATTTACCATATCAACTTAGTTTATACACACTGTCGTTTTTGAGCGCCTTGACAACTGATCGGAAATGTTCTTGCCCCATAAATCACTTACTTTCATTGTCGCTGGTGTATTTTCCTGTAGTTTCACCTCAAAATAAAAATATTCCCTACTTTTTTGCATGGTTTATGTGCACAATGCATGATTTTAGGATGGCGTGCACACTCGTTATCTTTTGGCCCTTCCGTCATCTGCAATCAGCTTGTCCCGGAATGATACGAGTCGTCACGAATGCTGAGCAGCTGTTGCATCTCACGTGTATCAGTGAATGGGGGGTCCGGACCAATGTCGATTTTATAGTACTAACCCAATGAGATACCATGCCGCTGTTTAACATTAATACTTCACTAAGACACAGACTCCGAGTCAACTAGTAATTGTTTTAGCCCCTTAACCCCGAGCGTCAGACAGGATGACAACATGTACCATCTTTTAACGTCTTTTGGTATGACGCGACCGGGGATTGAACCCCTGACCTTCCGCTCTCTGGGCAGACGCTCTATCCACGAGACCACGTGTATCAGAAGTATGCGCATGTCTATGTGTTGTATTGTGTATATTACATCAAACTGACAAACATCCATGTTGACCCCTGGTAGAATATAAAACGTCAACGCCAGAAAATAACCAGTCTTGATTATCCGCCGAAACAGATTTCATTGAGCGAAAAGGGCAAAATAGCGGAGAAAATTATATGAATGGACCACTGAAAATCAGACATTACACCATCCCATGCGAAGAGTGAGTGAGTATGGTTTTACGCCGCTTTTATCACGGCGGGCGACACCAGAAATGGGCTTCACACATTGTATCCATGTCGGGAATCGAACCCGGGCATTCAGCATGACGAGCGAACGCTTTAACCACTAGGCTACGCGACCGCCCCCCATGCGAAGAAGAATTGACTATACCGACACCATCGTTGACCTCGTTCGCGGGCAGCCTGACGATAACACAGAAGATGAAGTTGACGACAGTGAGGAGTCAATTATCACACAACCAGCAACCACCAAGGCTCCTCTCGCTCAAGATGCATTCTCGTTGAAAACAACTTGTGTGTATTTTGTGTTACGGACTTGGACTTTATTGCGAAAATGCAGTCATCGTTGAGAAATATATCATAAAAAAACTGAGAAACAGAAAACAAACTGAAAGACTGTTTTCAGTAAATGACGTGTCAATATTCTTTAAGTTCTATTCAACAGCAATAAATGAACGATTGGAAAGGGGTAGATCTCCAATTACTGCCTCTTACAGTTATAATACCCCGATCATCTCACGACAAGGATCCATGGGTTCTGGTGTTTGTCGTAAGAGGAAGAAGAAGAAAGTTTATTGCTGTCTCACTTGTTTTACATGGGCATATACCACAGTGTATGCATACTCATTATGTAACATGTAAAACAACCAATCGCTCAGCGATTTATGAGACATTAATTACAACATACAAAATGTGCGAAAAAGTACATATGTACATATATAAAAGTCAGCAAAGTTTAACAGTATAAAATGCCTCTGCGTTTAGTTAAAATGTCATGGCAGTGTGAAAGTTAAGATCATGGTGGGCTAAATACAGTTAAATATTACTCTGTTTGTTAAAATGTCAAAATCTGGCCACACTTCCCTGCTAACCTTGATGAGACCCCTGCACTGATCTGTATGAAGAGGACGTGTTAAGAGGACGTTGTTCTCATCTTCAATGGTATTCATACAGTTAAAACACAGTCTGTTCTCTAAAGGAATGTTTTCATATCGTCCGGTTTCAATTCGGAGGGGTGCCACTCCACATCTAAACTTGGCCACAGCGCTTCTATGTGCAGGGGACAGCTGACATAACTCAAAGTTGTGTAGTAAGAGACGTGTGGATCGGGTGTCAGGCTCGGTGACAGCGGTTGTCTGTGTGTCATCGTACCCCAACAGCGTGGGACTTTACTCATGATATTAACCACTAGTTTACTGATTTGTTCCCGGTCGCCGACATAAAGCTGGCATAGTGGCGTAAAACAAACAAAGAAACCTCCAAAATTAGTAGGATGTCTTAAACAACAGACCCGTGGGGATTCCTGGTAATAATATAGGTCCTGAGCAACCCATGCTTGTCGTAAGAGGCGATCATATGGAATGGGTGGTAGGCTCGGTGACTTGTTTGATCATGTAATCGTATCCCAATTGCATGGATCGATGCTCATGATGTCAATCACTGTATTGCCTAGTCTCGATTATTTACAGACCGTCCTATAGAAGGAATATTGCGGCGTTGAACAAGAAAAAACCAAACCAAACAAAACTAGGACACCATACACGATCTTTATCCTTCATATCTGGATCAACTGGATACCAACAGGCAAAATTAGTTCTCCAGTTCAATAAACCTACACCTCTTAGACATATTATTTAACTGATCTCAGCAACGTTGAACCAAGGCATAACACCAATTGTATGTGGATAAAAGCGCAAATGTTATGTAAAGTGTTTGTAATCATTCACATCATTAAGTGAAAACTAGTTAATGGTTAACTTAAGTTGAGAGTTAAGTCTATCTGACAGCACATTTCCACAAGCACCCCAAGGCGTGACTACAACAAAGCACCCTCGCCAGTAACGAGCAAAACATCCCTTTAACAACGACCCTGACGTATCAATACAACACAACATATGGTGAATGGTGATGTTTGATTTCATATTCCGATAGTTGAAATCAATGTTATATTGAATGACCATACGAACATGCTCCGTCCGTGCGTGTACACACCGCAAGGGTCCTTTTACTAGGTCATGCATCGTCTAGTAACCACTGAATAAACCAAGCACGCCCTACCCCGCTAGCCTTGGGCTACAGCTAGGGGATTAACACATTAACTACTGGAATCTTTAAACCAGACTAATAGCATTAGGGCATGACGAAATGCAAGTTGAAGTAATCCGAACAATATGTTATGATTGTTCGTATTGCAGAAACGTCGCCCGAAGCTGTTAGAGCGTTATTGTTAAGATGTTTGCCGTATAATATGGCCAGATCCGACTCTTCATGAGAGGATTGCTGTGAAGGAAATCTGATTAACGCTTAGTTTCCCCCACAGGGGTAAATCCCCGGCGAACATGTGCAAGAGGAAGTCACGTACTCCGCCTCTAGTGACGCACGGATTTGTATTTTTGAAGTTTGTTGGACGTCTTCCTGCTAGGATGGTTATGTACTGAGCTGTCACGTAAGTTGGATGTACATGTATATCTGGATCTATGGGTGTATTTTAAGAGGGGCTATGACTCACAAGTTGGTACCCATTTGCAGTCTAGTTATTAAAGACATTTGTGCAACTGATACATTATGATCGTGATTATTTTAAAATTAAGGTTTTGATTATATGTAAGAAATCTTGAATTAAAGACTAAATTTTACAGACTAAATTAAAGACTAAATAAAGATTAAATTTCAATCAAACTTGCTAGTAATGCCACAATGGCCCTAGTAGCCCTTGGGGATCGAATATTTCAGAGCAAACTACTAGTTACACTACTAGATAATACACTGCCGGGCAAAAGAAGGTACACATCCATGTTTGATGGTGGTAAAACATGGAACGAACACAAGAAATGGTTATTCGATGGTGATGTTTTTGATAGGCGATATTACATGCATCTTATCAATGAGTATTCTAGAACAGGTGACGTCTCAAGAAACATGGGGGTCGCAATTTCATTTTTTATGCCATAAAGTTTAGCAGACCAATGTTGAACTTAGATCTTGACATTTATTTATCAATATGTTATGTATAACGTGATTATGAGACATTATACATTGGAGGAAATAATATGAAATTATACTTTAGATTTTGTCTCATTAACATGTATATTCCAAAGTAATAAGGAAATATCCAAGCAATAAACCTTAAACACAGGGTCCCTTTTCACAAAATATTCTCAGCGCTAGGACTGTTATACGTATGTGTTGGTATAAGTATGACCATGTCAAGTTGATTCACACAATTCATTCACACAATCCACAATTGCAAGAGATGCACTTCATTTCCAGGGAAGAAATATGAAGATTTATTGGATTAAAATGTAAATCACCTGAAAAGTGTCTTTTGTCGGATGGAACACGTGCAAATCTTTTTGCAGGTTTTCGTTAATTAACATTTGAAACACTGTTAAAAGCAACCTTAATACCAGGGGTGGGGTGGCCTAGTGGTTAAAACGTTGACTTGTCAAGCAGGAGACTGATTTCGAGTCCCAACATGGGAACACTATGAAACCTTGAGAAGAATATATGCCTGGAAAAGTGTTAAATGAGGCGTAATACCTACCCAACTCACCCGGTACCTATCTGAACTCATTTGATACCTATGTGAACTCATTTGATACCTATCTGAACTCACTCGGTACCTATTTGAACTCATTTGATACCTTTCTGAACTCACCCGATACCTATCTGAACTCACTCGATACCTATCTGAACTCATTTGATACCTATCTGAACTCATTTGATATCTATGTGAACCCAATTGATACCTATCTGATATCATTTGCTACCTATCTGAACTCACTTGATACCTGTCTGAACTCACTTGATACCTATCTGAACTCATTTGAAACCTATCCGAACACACTTGATACCTATCTGAACTCACTCGATACCCATCGGATCCCACTCGATACCAATTTGTACCAGACATATATTTTGTATGTGTTGTATTGTGTGGATTTGGTTATATTGTGATGTTTCTCTGGGTAAATAAGCTAAATCAGGCCCTTAAGTGAACACAATATATCCTGAGATATGGTCATCGAAATTGCTTGAAAATATGATTATGTTTCAGACCGGTGAATGTGTAATGTCTGCCACCACAAAGACATTGTTTCAGGGTGCCTTTCAAGTTGCTTTTCGGGAATTGTTTTTTTTCATTTAGGCTCAAGGTTTGATGTAAAATATATTTGGTTTTGCAGCTGTAATACATAGGAAAGACCCATTGAATTCTAATATTTTACATAACATGATTATTTTTTCAAAAGGATGTCCACTGGTTTTGTTACTATTGACACTGTACTCAATTATTCTGTTTATGCATCTACATGTGTTTATTCATGTAATGCCTGAACTTTCTTTTATGAGTTCACTGCCTCAATGGTATGATCTATTCTCTATGTTACAGGAATTCAAATCATTTGCATATCTCAGAAATGGACAATGAATTCGAAAAGAAATCCATTCGTGAAAACTTTCTCGAAAGACGAAGATGTGCAATGCAGGTGTCTACTCTCAACGCTGCCAGCAAAGTCGTCGCCGCGGACATGCGCAAAGGACAGAATGAAATGCGACGTCGCCTCCAGAAATACAGAGACAGACAAAGGGAGATAAGCGAGAAGAAAGACGGTCCACTGGCGATCACAATGGAAGAATTTCTCGAAAGACAAATGAGACTACAGAAATTAAAAACTTCAATCACCTGTCGTCCACTTTCATCGCCCCTAATTCAGCGCATGAGCAAATTAATAAATGAAGCAGAATTGGAAAAAGACGACGAACAATTCAACATGGATGCTTTTACAGACAGACGTCGGACCAAAATTGACCTTCGACCCAGTACTGCGGTCACGTGTCCGTCTAGGTTGAGCATCCGTCAGCAATCGAAGCGTGGGGCGAGCATATCGACGGGTCAGAAAGAAGTTCGCTATTACGAAGATGAAGAAATAAGGGATCGAGCAACCTTTTATTCACAGCTCCTGCACCTTCGGAAAAAGCAAGAACAAGACCGTTTCCAAGATATATCAAATAAGGTTGACACGTTCTGTGGAAAACACCCACACACTGAAGGCGAGGAAACATGGCGCCCTATGGGCGAGGCTTTGTATATGAATACTAAATACAACAAATCATGGGTGAAACCCATATCCCGACCCCCTGGGTCTCGACCCTTATCTGGTAGTAACATTGGAATCCAGCGGCCACGAAGGGTCAGCACTGCCCCTTCCACGCGGACAGCATGGACTGACCATTACACGATACCCGAGCTGCGGTCAGTGTATGATGACTAGAGTCTGTAAGGGTGGGATGAAAACTGATTGCGTGTTTTGAGAATATATGTTACGGCATGTCTACGAATAATTATTTGCAATATTTTTTGCCAAATGTACGATACCTTGGTTATGATTTTTAGAGTCAGAATGGGTGGTATGAACATTGATGACGTACTTTGAGAATATATGCATGTCAACCAATATTTGTTTGCAATATCATTTGCCAAATGTACATGGTAATGATCTCTTGGTGTCCGTCCTCAGGTTTCCGCATATATATGTTCGACTTATGTATCAATGAAGCTATTGAATGAATATTTTTTATAGAGCTCTCGAGTTGATAATTATTGGATATGGAAATAAAAGCGACTGAACCCTTTCCATTGTGATAGGAAATCTCTGCTGAAACCAGAGTTGATTGTACGATTCCGACTTTATCATAAGCATGTGTTTATAAATCTCTTTCAAATAGTGATGATACCAGTGTTTGCGAAATGTTGGGCGTAACTTGCCCCATTGGTGCCACCCGCCACAAGCACATGCAAAGGCAAGTCAACTGTTCCCCTGAAAAAAGCATGGGAATAGTTGTTAGAAGTCAAACTGTGAATTGCATCGGACGTATTTTTCGTCACCGATGCGTCGGAATATTATTTTGTGCCGACTGTTAAAGTAAATTTGGTTTCAGTAAACAAAGACGGATCAGATCATTATTAAAATGAACAATCCAGTAGGAAATTATGTTCATCTTTCATTCTTACTTATCACCTAATGTACACAGTCTCTGCTTCAGAGGCAAATAGGTTGTGGTATATATGCGAGTTTGCAGGGACGGTCGGGTAACCTAGTGCTTAAAGCGTTCGCTTGTAACGCCGAAGACCCGGGTTCGATTCCCGACATGGGTACAAAGTGTGCAGACCATTTCTGGTGTCCCCCGCCGTGATATTGCTGGAACATTGCTAAAAGCGGCGTAAAGCCAAACTCACTCACTCCTCGATTTGCAACCATCTGTTGTTCAGGGTGGGTGCAGTCAGGCGTGCTGAGTGGAAGAACAAAAGATGTCGACTGGGACAGTATCAGGTTGTTAAAATGATTTATTATAAACATACATTTCAGACATGCATGTACATTGGACGCAATTGGCTCAAACGTTTATTTTCAGTAAACAACATTTTGGTAAACAAGCACACCATGCTTATATTAATACCGCTCCAGCAACAAAACAATTACACACTTGGTTACAGAATGAAAATCGGCAATGTAGAACTGGTCTTTTAATATATTTGTGCAAGGCCACTGCACATAACTTTGCATCATTGGAAATATCTTAAATCGAATTCGTTGAAATTGTATAGGTCCAAAATCGAACACGGCCCATGATTTTTATTTTTCAATTTGATCTGAAACTTTTTAAGAAATGTCCTTTAATGTGAAACGTCAGTCTAGATTATTTGCAGAAACATTGGGCGTAAAAGACAAAATAGTAGCGAAAATTATGTGAATAGATCAGTGAAAATCATTATCATGAAACGAATTTAGACAGAAAATTGGGGTGTTCATTCGTTTCCTTCACGCTTTGGAAGACATCATTGTTTGTTTCCGTAAATAAACTCTTCTTCCACAAACGGACCAATGGGTGGCAGAATGTCGCCATATTTCTTCAATAATTGTACAGCCAGTTCCAAAGCGTGTGTGGCGTTGTCTGTAATCACCGCGTTAGCCAGACCACTTGTCCATGTGTTGTGATATGACGACAACTTCCGGTATGAGTTGTCAATCAACACGTGAGGTATGTCCAGTAAAGTGCAGAGAATATGTCCGTGTAATCTGTCCGTGATGACAACACGACCACGTTGGAGAAAGATCAGTCCGTTGTAGGCCATCAGGAAAGCTGTCTCCATGCCAGTAGAACCTTTAGGTGTTGGCCAGGCCCGCCAATCAGCACAGTGCATAGTAACATCTAGCGGAGCGTCCGGCACCACATAGCCTGGTGCCTCCTCGTCTTCACGTTTTAGCCAAAGAATGTCAAACACTGGCGACATAAATCTTTGGATTGCCCCTATTTGAAACGACATATCAGGCATTAGGATGAACCGACTTGGACCCTTGAAATTGTCCAGCGCATATCTGAGTGAAAGACGATCCCTGAGTATCATGGTAAAATCTGACTTCTTCCCGTACAAACTTTGGCAAAACTGCAAATGCTTTTCTTGACCTTTTCTCAGGAGGATGCTTTGTGGAAACAATACTTTGTGGTATTCAGGGAATCTTTTGAGAATAGTTTTTCTGAGATAATCATTGTAAGCATACCCGACAAGATTTCCTCCACCACTCATCAAAATCACCACTTTATTTTTGGAATGAAGTGATGCGAGTTTCTTGGCATATTGAAAATCAATATCCTTACATAATCCTGTTAGACAATAATGTAAAACAGTAATGCCCAGCCTACGTAAAAGATACATTTCACCTGCACTAATTGCCGGGTCTCCTTTGTTTTCATATACAGCCACGTCAAATAATATGGCATATCTATAGGTTGCTAGGAGATCAGAGAATATGTTAAATTGTATTCGTTGTGATTCCTTTATGACATCAACAGAAGTAGTTAAATGTGGTGAGAGTATGTTTGTCTTTAGAGAGTTGTTGTACAATCGCAATTTTAAGAACTCATGACGAAATTGAACCAGATTGTCAGGCACATTTGGTGTTAGGTCGGTATCTCGAATGTACATTGAAAAGGGAGTTTCATCAAATGATTTCCCAACAAACATTTCCTTTGTGTTCCTTTTGAGTTCACATGTAATGGACGTTGTAATATCTCTTGTTTCCACTGGCCGGTGAATCATTTGAACCGCAATGAAGGCGCTGCTTAAAATAATGGCTACCCAAAGAACTCCTGAAGACGCCATTGTACCTGGAAGTAAGGACGTCACATTAAACAATATCATTATTTTAATTTGTTTTGTGTTTTGATGTAGAACTATTTAGGAATGCAAAAATCATAGCACTGATATCAACCTTAATAATAATAATAATAATAATAATAATAGCTTTTTGCTCAGCAAAGAGGAAGGTTAACAACCAGCACCTCCTCAGCACAAATTCCCAGCACCCCTTACTCACCTCCTTTACACGGATGACCTTGTCGAGTCCTTTTCTGATGATATCGGCATGTCCTTTTGATTCGACAACATTCAAAATGCAACATTCTTCATCTGAAACTTGGCAAGCTAGGAGACGGAGGATCAGTCAGTTTACTTGGGGGAGGAGATATTGACCATCTCGTGGAAGGTTAGGCCTACACATGCTTAGGGATGCGGATTAGGGTCAAGCTCCAGAATGCCCATATCAAGGAAAACTGTGGAATGCCTTGTTTTAATCATGAGTCTTGACATGCTTCACAATAGGATCATCAGATAAATAAATGTGTGCAAAAGTGCACAATACAATTCTATCATGAAGAGCCTACACGTTAATTAAACCACTCCCTCCCATTTTGACTGAGGGGAGAGCGAGGGTGGTGGGATCTATTGTCAGACATGAATCTTCGTGTGAGAGTGTCAATACCCTGCATTTCTTGTTTCGTCCAATCAAAGCGTCAAAACACCAAAAAGAATTTGAAAGGACGGGTACAACATAAGTATTTGTGGCTTTGATTTTCTTAAGTCTACACTTGTACTCTCCCCGAAGTTTGGGCCTTGATAGGTATCCTAACCTGCATTCCCAAGTACGTATAGGCCTGACCTTCCACGAGATGGTCAATAATTCCATCACAAGTAAATCCTGATCCCCCCTTTTCTACCTTGCCAAGTTTCAGATGAGAAATGTCGAATCCAAAGGACATGCCGACATCAATAGAAAATGACTCGACAAGGAGAATATGTTTGTTTAGTGTGGATCCTCCATTGTCAATAAGTTCAAGGTCACATTATTATTATTATTATTAAAGAATTCATGTCTGTATACTTACGAGGTCCCGTCTGTTCAACAGCATTATTGCTTAAAACATACGCCAACAATCCTAGGGCACAAACAGCCAATCCTCCAAAATTAGACAGATTTGCATCTCTATGTCCCACCAAGTAGAGCAACAACACAACGAGGACTCTCTTTACGATGTTGACGACGGAGTGGCTGACCACAGACATGAAGAGCAGCACTACGTTGGTGGAGATGTAGGAGTAGATGACGTGGAAGACACTGGAGCATAATACCGCTATAAGCAGGAAGGAGACCGATGGAGGCAACTGCTTCTGTATAGTGAGGAACTCTGCCACAGCCACCAGGACAACACAAGATCCAAGAACCAGAACGATTGCGATCGTTTCCCTCAGTTTAATAAATCTTACTGAGGTATCAGCCTGTTCTAGTTTAATTGCTACGTTTCTGAAGGCTAATATTATAGTGGACAATAAGGCCATACAAAAACCAACAGCCGATATAAACCAGCTGAACGATATTCCACAGAAGATCATTGCGCCACATATGATGAAAGGTAGGCTGAACATAGCCGAAGGTGCTAGCGACTTTCCCAGAACCACACGCTGAACCACGCCGCTTGTGGCAGGTTCCATGAGCTTTATGGCAAAGGTAGACGACGCGCCTATTAAGGTCATACTATAGTTTGTTGCCATGGTAGCTAGCACGTGACAGGTGATCTTTATCCAGAAATCTTTTTTTGAGCATCCAGAGGGAGATTTACCTCGATGGATATCAGTCAGTAAGAAACACATAGTCATCTGGCATACTGTTATGACGACAGCCCACAGTAACCCGTTATTGAAGAAAGTGTTGGATGTCTTCAGAAAAACCTGGGTGGACTGGTGGCACAGGAAGGATGTGACAGTCCAACCGAGGAATGCAAAAAGTCCGAAATGCAGCATTATCTGTGAAAAGAAAATGAGAAAATATAATGTGAAAAACTAAAACGTAAGTCAACTGTTCGCATGAAAAAAACAACCCCCGGGAAAACATGGTACAAAACCGTTTTGATGTACATAAGAAATATCTGCCAAAGGCAGAGTCCATTATAGAATTCCGACTATTTTCCGACTATGAGCGTGTGTTTATGAATAATTATCAAATGGTGATGTTACCAGGTGACGTGTTCGCGAAAAGGTGAGCGTATCTTGCCCCGCCTGTGGCACCCAACACAAACACACGCAAAGGCTGATCAGTTTGTTCACCTAAAAAACAACTACACGGGAACATTTCAAACTATCAAACTAGGGAATTGCATCAGACCATTTTTTTGTCAGCGATGCGTAATGTCATAATGTCGGATGACGTTCTTTGAAATCCTCGTAGAAAGAGCATGCTCGAGTGCTCGAGTTGTGAAATGAATCAATAAGTAAGCAGTTCTCCTGTGTATTTGTTTCCACTGTAACCATCTTTGTCATTATCGATATTTGTTTATGATTTGTGCGTAATGAATAGGAAAACATATCTAAAACCATGCACAAATGGTTTACAATCTCTAAATAGTGCCATTGGTTAAACATTTTGCATTTTACAGAAGACTAATAGTCAAAGATTTTCCTCACTTTCCAAGACATTACATTTATGAAATCGGGACCAAATATTCTCACACACACACGCACACACACGCACGCACGCACGCACGCACAGACGCACGCACGCACAAACGCACGCACGCATGCACGCACGTACACACACGTTCCTGTGACACTGTTCCACCTATCTAAAATAAGACC